GCTGTTTGTACATCGTAACGTGAGGAAACGTTGCTGGCGGATACGAAAGCTGAATAGCTTGCAGTTGCTAGTTTGTTTGACTAGTTTGATTGTTACGGAAGCGAGCGAGCGAGCGAGCGGAAGGTATAGTTGTCGCATGTCGGCAGTAGTACTGCGCCGACCGGCTTTGCGCGCTTACAGGGCTGTAGCTGAGTGGTCGCACGGTCGCACTCATAACGGGACACCCGAGACTCTTAGGGGCATCGTTGCAGAACAGCCAGCTTGGTTGTCGTTGCCCGGCGTTGATCTGAATTTTGTCCAACAAGTCTGGCCTTTTGTCTGGCACATTTTCAAGGTGTCATCGTTGTAACGCTGCGAACCGTGTGAGCTGTATGACATGACCGGCCGCACGGCGACGTTAGTTTGCGGTTACCAAACGGAGCCAGTTTTTAACGGTGCTGGTTTGTAAATAGTGTTTCTCCGCTGTAGTCGTCCGATCTCTGTTTGGACGGACGTGAGTCATGTGCTGAGCGTTTGCATGAACATACTTCGTGTTCGTTCTGTTGTGACACTTTCCGAGGACGAGAGGTGACGACCGACGCCGCCCCTTGCTACTGATGCTCTTCGACTGACGATTGGGTGACGTTGCGATTCAGCTCATCATAAGTTGTAAATGTCGTCCAGGTAGATCACGAATATGATAAATAAATAGGTAAATAAAATAGCTGCCGACATTTAATAAGTAAATAAACGAACAGTTACCGTAACTGACTAAATACTAATAATTTAAAACTTAACATTAGTTGCCGGAAGATGATGGTTAGGAGAGAACGCCACACCGACAAGGTCGTTAATTTCTTGTTTCTTCTGATGAATCGTTTTCGCGAGCATTGCTCGTAGAAGGAAGGCATTGGGTCGTCAACACTTGTTTATGGTTCATGAACAGGCGCTTGGCTCTTCACGAATATACCTAGTTTCGACTGGGCGGCTTTTCCCGTTCATTATCGGTTTCATCATAGACGCAAGGGCATTCTGTATTTGCCTTTCCAGTTTTGTAAATCTCCTAATTATGATCGTATCGTCACCTTATGAGATGTTTACGCGCGCT